CAGCCAGTACAAGCCGTGAAAGTGAAGTCTGCTCTGCTAGGCTGTTAGCATGCCACCAGCCAGTTATTCTGTGATTTGCTGGAAAATAACATGAAAAAGAAGTTCCCCTCAAGAAGTTCACCTGCTTTCATTCCTAGCAGTGTTGCAGTTTGTTACTGTGACAAGTCTGTGGCATTTGCTGGAGGTTTGAAGACCACTAATGGTTGTTTTCTGGCAGATCCTGTTCTTTCTGCCTCCATCTCATGCTTTTGTTTACATGCAATTCTGTTTAAGAGGCTAAGCTGGGTTTTTTGCAGTTTTTTAAAAGCAGATCCTTGTGCTCACACTGCCAGCAGGTTACTCCTGTGCAGCTCTTCAAAGGACTCCACTGTGTGCCTGAGAGCCCAGTGTGCAATTCCTGTCTGTAAACCCAGGCCATCGTTTGCCTGGCAGCTTCTTCACTTGTGCCTTAAATTCTAGCAGAAATAGGAAGCAACTTTCCTAGTCCCTTTGTGCTAACTGTGGCCAGCCCCATAGCTTGAAAAATCATGAGCTGGATGAAGGAATTCCACCTGTATTCCCACAGAATTCCAAGATTGATCCCAAATAACACAACTTGTTTTTCCTTCATGCCTGTTGACCTTCCTGTTGTCTTGGAGCTCATTTTTCCTGTTTGCAAAGGATTTTTGAAAGAATCTCACAGGTGATGATATTTACCAAATATTTCAGACAGAAATTCTCAGCCTAGAGCAATTTTTAAAGTATTATGAATTGCTTTCCCTGTTGAAGTGTGTTGCTTTATTGCATTGGGGGTACAAAATTTTTGTAATTGAAGTCTTACACAGATGCTGGTGTCCTACAGAGAGAAAAACCAAGATCTGTCTTCCATGAAGACAGCTCAGCTGGCAATACGAAGAGTTCTTGCATTTTTCTGTATAATCCAGGCTTTAGCATCTCTGCAACTCAAAACTGGCCATTAAGAAGAGATTGAGAAATGGATGGACTGCGCTCTCCGCTCCTCTCGAGTGACAGACTGGGGTAGAGATCAGAACCATACTGCTTGTTATAAATGCTGAGAAGCATTTCAGCTCAAAGGCTGCCAGTTCTAGCAGTGCAATCGAGGGAAAGAAAAGCCAGTCGACACATTTTCCATGTACACTGAGTGGCACACCAAGGAAGGGGGTGAAGTACAGTATCTGCTGTGGTGTTGCAGTGTTAAAGATAGCTGCTGTTAAGGCTGGGTATCTTTGTAATACAGAGGTACCAAAGAGGGACAAAGGGCCTTCAGAAGAGATTATTGCCCCAGCTGTGCACGTGGTGAAGCAGGCGGGATAACCCTGTCCTCCTCAGGTGTTTGTGTTTCTGGCTGGTGCCGTCACTATCCCTGGTTTAGAGCTTGACTCCAGGCTTGGGCTTCGCCGTAGCCTAAAGCAGGGCCAGCTGCCTGCTCACGTGTCGCATGCTGAAGCTCCTGCCTTGTGGCACAGTTTAACAGGTGCCATGCGATATCTGAGTCATTTCTCTTTGCTTGGCCTTCACTCCCACTTCCTCAGGTGCTCAAGATGTAGTGATACACCTTAGACGTAGCACAATACGTGTTAGTTTGTGGTCATATCCCAGCTCCTGGTAGCAGGCTGTAATTCTTACCAGGTTTGCGATGGGTCAGGACGTGAGCTGTTTGAAAACGGGGTTTAACCTGTGAGGCTTGTTCTCTCCTTCCCCTTCATGGTAGTATCACACTTGCTGTCTGTGCACTGGATTGTACCCAGGTGCTGAGCTAAGAGCACAGGACGCAAGGTGCTGTGGGGGACGCCAGCTTTCATCCCTGTCTGAGGGTGCTGTAGGCTGCAAACAGAATTATGATCTTTCCAGTTTAAGTGCATTCAAACTCATCACTTGTGTACATGACAGTGCCCATGAGGAGCGTTACTTAGAAGGAAAAAAAATGAATTTTCCAGAATTGAATGCATAGTATATATTTCACAATCCCAAAAATAAAAAAAAAAAAAATGATTGGCCTGATCTTTAAAAAACATATCTCCCTTTGGGCTCTGACTAAGCATGAGAAAGTTCAGACTAAAAGGAATTTATTCGAAAAAGCAGTGAAAGGTTAGAAACAAGGATTTGGGCTGGAATATGTCTTGCAGACATTAACTATGGAGGCATAGTGCCACTGCCTCGCATGTGCAAAAACAATTTGAGGGTTGTGAATTTACACCATTAAATTAATATATTAAAAATGAAGGTTTTCTTGCCCACACCTTATATGTGCAGGATATAGTGATTTTAATGTTCTGACTAGAGCTGAAAGGATATGTAAATGGTTTGCTAGTGTTAATCTAAGGTTAAGGAAGAATATTTGGCATCTACATTTCTTCATTAATTTTAAATATTCAAATTTGCAACCTTAATGTTCCCATAAAGTAAATTTTAGCTTTTGATTTCCTTTAACTTTTTTGAGGTAACAGAGCAAAAAATGGGAAGTTCCACTGTTGTGCTTGGTAAAGCTTACTAATGCCTTACACAATTAAAAGCCTAAAGTAAAAGATGTGTGTGCGTGTGCACACCCACGTACACATGCCAAAGTGAACAGTTAGTCATTTACAACTTTGATTAATTTTTCCAATGTTCTTATTTAATAATACTCCTGCTCCTTGGGGAAAGCTATAAAAATGGATTTTATTTTTTAATGCTTTTGCATTTTAAATAGGTAAAGTCTCTTTAGATTCCCATTTGCCTAACAAGTAGATGAATATGTTCATCTTCAAATTTAAATGACCAATGGGCTGAGACCAAGAATGATAAATTTCTGTGCAGGAGGAGGACATTAAGAAAATAATAAGGAACTTTGTCTACAGTGGGAAGGAAATTGTGACTTGTAAGCCTGGCATGTGTTCCCGCAGTGGTGCAGTTGTTGCCTTTCACGAGAGTGTGTTTCTTCCCAGCTCATGGGCTGGGGTCACTCCTGCTCCCCCCAGAGCTGGTGTTTGTTGTGAGGCACAGTGCTGTCCGTGGCACCGTAACACAGGTTACTGTTGTCTTGCTCCCATAATCTCTTCCTCTAAGTACCTTGTATGCCAGGAATGGCACAGGGAGGGGATCAGGACTAATGCTTGCTGCTTTGGAGCCTTCACATCGCTGCACCGACATCTTTGTTGGGGCTGGGTGAAGTAGGTATAGCTCCTGGCCCTGCCTTTTAGTAGGGTAAATTTGATCTCACTCCTTTGACATCACTCTGCAATGCTACGGGTTCTTTCAGATGGTCTCGTTTTGGGTATCCTGCTGGGTGTCTTTCCTTACAAGCATGTAAGGTGTGCTCTGGAGCATGGCACACAGGAGGATGTGATGTTTCTGCAAGTGGTGAAGTTCCATAGCTCTAGAAAGGAGCAGTTGCTTTCTGTGTAACTTTAGCCTAAGGTTTTAGAAAAGAAGGTTTCAAGTTTTCTGTTAATCTCCAAACATGATCTTATACAGAAAATTGCTAATACACCCATAAAAAATAAATTTCTTCCGCTTTCCTGGATACTGACAAAATAGACAATGTTTACAGAAATCTGGCCGTTAAAACCTTGCAAGAAGTCTCTTACACAGTTCCTAGGCAGTGAAATTGATGGAAAAAATATATTTATTTTAATGAAAAAGGGTTAGAAAATTAGTAATTCCAAACTGTTCCATTCATCCATCAATCTGTCTTGAAAATGCCAGGAGAACTTTTCTGAAGATAGGATTACATTCCTCCCATGTTCATTAGGAAGCAATACCCTTTCCAGCTTTCAACATAGGTTGAAATTTAGCAGTGGAAAAGGTATACAACCAGCAATGCCATTAATTATTCCAAATTCTTCTTTCAGCTTGCACCTTTGTCTGTTGAGCTGCATGTTGGCATTTCAACAATGTTTTATCTGAATAACACAGAAAAAAATATATTTTAAGTATTTTTACAATTTATTAAAACACTGCCCCAAACATTTTTAAGCCAAGACAACAATCCAACAGTGCAGTGGTCTGCACTGTTGACTAATCCAGCTTACCTCACCACAGTTCTCAGTATTTTCACTTTAAAACCAGGAAAGGCAGAACAATACAATGGTTACCTTCTTAAAATTTCCTCCTTTCAACCTGACATGAAGGTTAGAGGCCTGGATTACAGCAGGCAATTGTGGAGAGTTTATTACACCATTTTATTTTAGTTTGATCTTGGTCCTTATGAAGGTTTAGGAAGCCAGGATTTGTTCTTTAGTACTGTGCAGTCATTTAACTATCACTTTTCCTTTCGACTTTGGAAACTATGCATGAATCCTATGAATCCCCATCTGGAAATCACAGTAAAAACAAAATTTCTGGTCAAGGACAAATGTGTATGAAAAAGTCAAGGTGAGATTTTCCTTTATGCAACTCTTGGTGCTGCATCATGTAATCTAAACAGTTGTGAGGCAGATGAGTAGAGTATGTTCCCAGTCAGACCTTAAACTCCTTTTGATTTCAGGGGAATTGAAAATAAAATGGACCATATCATATCTTGTGCAAAATTCCATAATGTGATCTGAACTGAGTTTTTCACTTGTGGAGATTCAGCATCCCTTTTAATGTAAAAAAATAATAAATCTTACTGCGTCACAAGTTAGGTATGTACAGGTACACCTGTTTTTTAATTATGCAAAATTGATGCTGTTCATTGTCAAAATTCTGCTAGGAGAACATTAACACTCTCTTTTCGACATTCTTTATCTTTGTCCTGGGTCTGTCCCCTCCCAGCTCTTACTGCACCCCCAGCCTGCCCGTTGGCAGGACAGAGCAAAAGGCTGAGATGTCCTTGGCTTAGTATAAGCATTGCTCTGCAACAATTAAAGCATTGGGGTGTTATCAGCACTCTTCTCATCCTAAGCCAAAACACAGCATTCCACCAGCTACTAGGAAGAAAATTAATTCTGTTCTAACTGAAACCAGGACAATCTTGCACTGAGTTACAATTTAAATAAAAAGAATCCAGCACTCCCCTGAAGTGACACCAGAATGAAAAAGCATGAAACCAGATCTGCTGGCATTAATTATATTGTCTGGTGTGTCATGGAATCCGAACATTCTGTTCATAGTGCTGATTTTGGGCATAATTGCAAAATGCCATAATATTTTCACTTCAAATTGGTGGTATTTGCTATCTGTTTTGATTCAAATTTAATGTACTTTTAAGTGTAGAAGAGGGAAACTCATTGATGTGTAGCAGCCTGAGGACTCCTGGAAAGTCTTTTCTGTTCCACCATCCAGTGAGCAGTACCCAAACACTTTCCTCCCCCAAAGGTTAAAAATAAAAAAAAAAAGGAAACCAACAACCACCTGTATGTGATCATGACACTGTGATGAACAGGGGGCTGTCTTTCAGAAACGGATATGGGATATTCTCCACTGAATGGAATCCCCTGCTAGTCTGGCATCACACTCCCTGACCTGGAAGGATTACATCCAGCTCCAGAGGGTCTGTATTGAAATCTCCACCGTGTAGATACATTCGGCTGACACGTTGTTTGGATAAAGCATCACAGAATTTGTGGACCTCAGTGGCCTCCTGCTTGAAAGCAGCTTGTAAAACACTGTGAGGTGAAGCCAGCCCCGTAGCTGCTGAGTGTGTTTGCAGCAGCTGCTTGTAGGAGTTGGTTCTGGGCTCTGAAATGCTGCACCGAGAACCTGAGCACACACCGGTGGCTCTGTGCCCTCTCGCTTGTCGTTGAGCCCTTCACCAGCCCACAGCTCCCAGCCTGCACCATCTGTTGGTTATTTCGAGGGGTTTCACCTGGCTGTGTCAGGGTCTGTGATTACCTTTTCTTGGCTTGTTAGTTAGGACACCCTTTGAGAAGCACATGAAGCACCATGCTAGGATGGGCCAGTGCATGTCTAAATGTCTTTTGTGATTCTGACAAAGGCCAAGTGTTTGTGGGAAAAAAGGAAATGATCATGAAATGAGTGATCTTGGAATAGTTTGCCCACAGGGAAAGTTTTTTTCCTAACCCCCACTTAGGAGCTGGCTTGTGCATTTGTGTGAGGGTTTCTGTCCTTTCCAAATTTCTGGATGTTATTATTATTTAATCCTTACTAATATAACTTGGGATACTTTAATCTCCTTATGGGGTTGCTGCTGACTTTGGGCTTGTTCCTGATCCCTTTCCAAGGAATTTTGCCATTAGACACCTTTGAGTTAAGCTCTGATGTAGATTGCCATGGATTTTACTGGCAACTCTCTACTTGGCTGTAAAATGCAGGTGTAAAGCTCATAACTTCAGTGCTGCAGCACAATTTGAATGAGGAGTAGATGGAGGTCTGCTGGCAGCAAGCTGTGTGTCTGCAGGCATGAATTTTACCTCTCCCCACTGCCAGTCCAGCATCTAGAAGGAAGCTCCTGAAGATGCTGGGGGCTAGGTCAGAGGAATTGCTTTGAATCAGTGTGGGGAATATTCTGCAAGCTTAGGAAGCCATAAATGTGTTCCTTTCCTTCCAGGTGCCCCTCAGGCTGCTAAAAGGCAGAAGAAGCCTCTCTCCAGAGCTGTCTTTGTGGTTCTCTGGGTGGAAGTCACATAAGCAAGCGGGGCTGCCGGATGTTTCTGCTCCCTGCTCTGCTGAAAGAACACAGTAGCTGCACTCTGAGTCTTTTTCTGGGGAGGCACCTCAGGTAGCCTTTGCTGGACGCAGCTCAGAAGGCTGTTTTCTGGTGACAGGCTTGTGGCACGTATCTCAAAACGCCATTCTTTCCTGTTTCTTTGCATCAGGTAGTTCAATTGCAGTGGCTTTGGCTCTCAGTGAAGAGTGCTGCAGTTGTTCATGGTTCCCTTCTGTGGGGCAGACATCCTGGGAAAGATTGTGAGAAACATCTCAAATAATTTTCTTCAGACAGGATCTTCTGGGAAGCTATTTTATTCGCAGTTGCAATGGTGGGCATCCTGTCAATCAGGAGCGCATTTTAGTAAACAAATCCTAACCTTGTATTCCCTATTACCCAACACCTGATCACCTCCCCTGTTTCCTCATTGGCCGAGTACTACAGGTTCACAAGCTACTCGACACTCCTCTATACCATATATGTACAATTTTTCTTTTTTTCAACCCTTTAATTTCTCCTTTCTTATGTTTTGAGAACTCGTGATCTTTGTTTTACTGTTCTCACACTGCTCATCCTGTTTTTCTCAAGCTTCTACCTTATTTTGGAGCAGTGAGGCCTTCTACTGTCCACTTATCTACTTAGCGTTTCTCCTTATTATGACTACACAACTGACTTGGAATACAATAAAGTAATTCTCTACTGCAAAACCACAACTTTGTTTCTCACAATTCACCCCTCTTCTTTTCTTACTCCTATTGTTGTTTTTGCACCTCTTCACATACCGCACTCTTGAGTTTTTCCAACATTAAGGTGCAATACTCTTCTTCGGATGTCACAGGTGATGACAGATATAGAATGCCATTGTTATCACAATACCAACAAGTAGTTGTTTGAGCTAATTCTATTCAGGTAACCACGAAATTAGTTTCTCACAAATGTTTCTAAATCCCCAGGAAGTGTCATCATGAGCTACTCTATGTAGGATCTTGTTGTATTTTTTTCCCCAAATATTTTTGAGATCAGTCAAATTCATTCCATTTGATCTACATATATACAGCAACTAGTATTAATTACAGTGCACGCTCCTCCTTATAAGGTTATTAATACATCTAATACTAGTTGATTTAGAGCACTATTTTTGATTCTAGAGCACTATTTTTGCAAACTTATCAAACTTATTTTCTTGTTCTTCAACATATTTACAATAGCTTTTTCTAACTCACTCACCCTTAACCAAGGTAAAAACCACCTTGCAAAACTGTAAAAAGCTAGAGAATTTTACTAAAGGATTATCTGGAGTCCACTTAATTCTGTGTGTGGTCTCAAGGGAGCTTTGACTTTGTGGGTCTTCAATAATCATTACATTTGGAATTATTGCCTCCAGGGTGCAAGCTCCCTTCCATCCTAGGGGCAACACCTTCCTGGATTTATTGCCACATAGCCAGTACCACTCCTTGACATTCAGGACAGGCCATTTGGTTACAGGAGTCTCATGTTGTATCTGGTGTGCATTATGTATATTATCATTCCCGTGACTACCATATTCAGTATGGTCTGGATTATTCCCTGTTTCATGGATATTTACACACCCAGGGTCAGTAATTTTGCTCCCTGAGTTTTCTATCAATGTTGTTTAAAAGGCACCTTTGATAACACAGTATGTTGTAGCCAGGATTATGTGTAGGGAACTCAACTTCAAAATCTGTTGCTTCCCGGGACTGTGTATGATCTGTCACTTTTAAAAATCTGGAGAATCCAGACACAGTTGCTGCTGGAAATAGCAATGGGGCACAAGGCCTCTTCAGTCTTTCTAGTCATCTGGGTGCAAATTATTTTGAGATAGAACTCAAGAGATGTTCTGGATCAATTGGAAATGCTGATTTTTCCCTCCATTTTATCACTAATCCATTGAGAATAGGTATTACTAAAATAAACTTAAAATACATCATTTCTATGTATATATACACACCACTCTAATAATTAAGAAATAATAATTAAGATAAACAATAAAAATCATAAACTAATAAGGGTTCTTCTGGTGGGGATTGAATACCCTCCTTTCTTTTTCTTCCACTTCCAGAGAGTGTTCACTGGAAACACTCCAATTCTGCGTAATTCAATCCTTTTTACTCATTAAGAATTCTTCTAAGGAGAAGTTAAAGGTTTACAATAGATAGTTTTAGCAGTTTAAACCTTAAAAGTCTTTGTTAATGCAGTCTCTCTGGTATCAGGGTTAACTAATGCTTTTACCCAGGTATGAGTCCACCCTTTCTCAGCTGTTCTTACTGTCGTCTCAGTAGTCAGGAGCACTTGGAACAGTCCGTCCCACTCAGGCTTTAGTTTAAGTTCTCTCCATGTTCACATCAGATCCCAACCTCCTTTTCGGAATGGATGGATCAGGGCTTCCAAGGGTGGGGTTTGAGCTAACAGTCCTGAGAGATGACAGAGGACGACAGCATTATTATATAGATCTTAAGAAAAGCATCTTTTGTCTCAAATTGAGGTAATTCATTCCTTTTGTCCATGTACAGCAGTCCAAATAATATTTCATATGGTGAAACTCCCACATCTTTTCTTGGTGCAGTTTGAATTTGGAGAAGTGCCAAAGGTAAGCACTTTGTTTGGGGAAGATGAGTTTTCAGAATTTAGTCAATTGCTGCTTATTGTCTGATCCTCTCCACCCTTCCAGAAAAGGAAGGATGCCAAGGAGTATGAAATTTCCACTTAATTCGTAGAGTCCACATTAGCCCTTGCAATATTTCTGGCATAAAATGATGCCTTTGATTAGAGTCAATATTTTCAGCAATTCCATACCTGCGAGTTACTTGTTCTAGAATTACTTCAGTTACTGTGTTTGCAGTAGCAGATACTGAAGAGAAAGCTTCCACCCACCATGACAAATGATCTACCAAGATTAATAAGTATTTAAATCTACCTACTCTAAGGAGTTCTGTAAAATCTACCTGTACATTTTGGAAGCGTTGAATTCCTGGTTCTCACCCCCTTTGGACTGACTGCAGATAATTTTACTATTTACCTTTTGACATACTACACAACTCCTGCATACTTGTTCAGCTAGAGTACATATATTCCTACACATAAATATTTCCATAGCACAGTGTCACATGTTGCTTGAATTCCCCAATGACCCTCTTGATGTAAAACAGTTAATACTTACCTCATTAGCACTTTCTTCAGCATTTCTCTCCCATCAGAGAGTATCTGTTTTCCTTTGGACTTCGTCACTCCTAATTCCTTAAAAAACTCTTTCTCTTAAAACTTTTTAGTTCTTTTTGGCTTTGGGTAGGGGTAGCTCAACAATTCCCTGAATCCTCTCTGGATTTATTCTTCATTCCCCCTCAGACACTAGATGCCCTAAATATTTGACTTCTTTTTCTATGAATTTTAATTTATTTTCCAATACTTTCAAGCCCTGTTTTCCCAGAAATTCAAATAGTTTGTTAGTGGCTTCCTTCACAGCTGTTTTCTCCTGTCCTAACAATAAGAGATCATCCACATATTGTAACAGTAACATGCTCTTTGGAGGTTGGAATTACCCCAAAATTTGTTCTAGAACTTGCCCAAATAAATTGGTGGCCCTGTAAACCCCTGAGGTAAAATTGTCCATCTGTATTGCTGCTTCTGCCCGATCTCAGGGTCTTTCCATTCAAAGGCAAATACATCTTTGCTCTCAGGGTCTGAGAGTACCCCGTTAATAATACTGTTATTCCAGTCTAACAATTTATTTGAATGCCCAGTTTCATTATCAAATCCTTTCCCAACAAGTTAGTCCCTGCTTCAGGTACATACAGTAATTGCCCAGTGATCATTTTATCCCCAGTCTCAGCTTGGTGTCCCCAAAAAGTGGCACTGTTATCCCAGTCCCTTCTACCCCCATCACATTTAGGGTTTCATTAGTTAACTTAAGTCTTAACACTTTACAGGCCAGTAATGACCTAGCTGCCTCAGTGTATTGGGTTCACATGGCAAGGTTCTGGTAGCAGAGGGGGCTGCAGAGGTAGCCCCTGTGAGAAGAATCCAGCAGCTGCCCCATGTTAGATAAGGGCCAGTTTCAGCTGGCTCCAAAGGGGCCCACCGCTGCCCAGAGCCGAGGGCAGGTGGTGTTTGTTTGATGCTGTTTGGCATACAGGTGGTGTTTTCGCTCACAGGTGGTGTTTTCATCTACAGGTGGTGTTTTCATCTATCCCTACGGTGGCAGGGAGGGGTACTGAGAGGGCACGGAAAGCCCACCTGATAAACACGTGGCTCAGGGGCTGGTGCCAGCACAGAAATCTTGGATTTTTTGACCATGGGGCGCTTTACTTGGCATCCGGCCTAATGGCTGCAGACGGGTCCCTATCTTTTAGGGGGAAACGGATCCTGGGCCAGGAGCTGGCGGGGCTCATTGAGAGGGCTTTAAACTAGGTAAGAAGGGGGATGGGGCTGAAGCAAGGATTGTTGGGGCTGTGCCAGGGGGAACAATGGCAAGGCCGGGGGATAAGGCAGTGGCCCAGCTGAAGTGCATCTACACTAATGCACACAGCATGGGTAACAAACAGGAGGAGCTGGAAGCCATTGTGCAGCGGGCAGGCTATGACTTGGTTGCCATCATGGAGACATGGTGGGACCACTCTCATGACTGCAGTGCTGCAATGCCTGGCTATAGGCTCTTCAGAAGGGACAGGCAGCACAAAAGGGGTGGTGGTGTGGCTCTCTATATTAGAGAATCTTTCGATGTTGTAGAACTCGAGGCTGGGAATGACAAGGTTGGGTCCCTTTGGGTTAGGATCAGTGGGAAGGCCAACAAGGCTAGCATCCTGGTCGGGTTCTGTTATAGACCACTGAACCAGGATGAGGACACAATGAGGAGTTCTACAGGCAGCTGACAGAAGTTGCGAAATCGTCGGCGCTGGTTCTCGTGGGGGACTTCAACTTCCCTGACATATCCTGGAAGCACAACACAGCCCAGAGAAAGCAGTCTAGGAGGTTTCTGGAGAGTGTGGAAGATAGCTTCCTGACGCAGCTGGTTAGTGAGCCTACCAGGGGTGGTGCCCCTCTAGACCTTCTCTTCACAAACAGAGAAGGACTGGTGGGAGATGTGGTGGTCGGGAGCTGTCTTGGGCAGAGTGACCACGAAATGGTGGAGTTCACTATTCTTGGCGAGGCCAGGAAGGGGATCAGTAAAACCGCTGTATTGGACTTCCGGAGGGCTGACTTCGTGCTGCTGAGGACACTGGTTGGTAGGGTCCCTTGGGAGGCAGTTCTGAAGGGCAGAGGAGTCCAGGAAGGCTGGGCGCTCTTCAAGAGGGAAATCTTAATGGCGCAGGAGCGGTCTGTCCCCACGTGCCCAAAGACGAGCCAGCGTGGAAGAAGACAGGCCTGGCTCAACAGAGGGTTGCAGCTTGAGCTTAGGAGAAAAAAGAGGGTTTATAATCCTTGGAAAAAGGGCGGGCCACTGAGGAGGACTACAAGGAGGTAACGAGGCTGTGCAGGGACAAAAATAGAAAGGCCAAAGCTCATCTGGAGTTCAATCTGGCTGCTGTTGTTGAAGACAACAAAAAATCTTTTTACAAATACATCAACGCAAAATGGAGGACTAAGGAGAATCTCCATCCTTTACTGGATGCGGAGGGAAACCTTGTTACAAAAGATGAGGAAAAGGCAGAGGTGCTTAATGCCTTCTTTGCCTCAGTTTTAGCGGCAATACCGGTTGTTCTCTGGATACCCAATACCCTGAGCTGGCAGAAGGGGATGGGGAGCAGAATGTGGCCCTCACTATCCATGAAGAAATGGTTGGCAACCTGGTACGGCACTTGGATGTGCACAAGTCGATGGGGCCGGATGGGATCCACCTGATGGTACTGAGAGAACTGGCAGAGGAGCTGGCCAAGCCCCTATCCATCATTTATCAGCAGTCCTGGCTATCGGGGGAGGTCCCAGTTGACTGGCAGCTAGCAAACGTGATGCACATCTACAAGAAGGGCTGGAGGGTAGACCTGGGGAACTATAGGCCTGTCAGTTTGACCTCAGTGCCAGGGAAGCTCATGGAGCAGATTATCTTGAGGGTCATCACGCGGCACTTGCAGGGCAAGCAGGCGATCAGGCCCAGTCTGCATGGGTTTATGAAAGGTGGGTCCTGCTTGACGAACCTGATCTCCTTCTATGACAAAGTGACGTGCTTGGTGGATGAGGGAAAGGCTGTGGATGTGGTCTACCTTGACTTCAGCAAGGCTTTTGACACTGTTTCCCACAGCATTCTCCTCAAGAAACTGGCTGCTCTTGGCTTGGACTGGCGCACGCTTCGTTGGGTTAGAAACTGGCTGGATAGCCGGGCCCAAAGAGTCGTGGTAAATGGAGTCAAGTCCAGTTGGAGGCCGGTTACTACTGGCGTTCCCCAGGGTTTGGTGCTGGGGCTGGTCCTCTTTAATATCTTCATCGATGATCTGGACGAGGGCATTGAGTGCACCCTCAGTAAGTTTGCAGATGACACCAAGTTAGGTGCGTGTGTCGATCTGCTCGAGGGTAGGAAGGCTCTGCAGGAGGATCTGGATAGGCTGCACCGATGGGCTGAGGTCAACTGCATGAAGTGCCAGGTCCTGCAGCTGGGGCGCAATAACCCCAAGCAGAGCCACAGGCTGAGAGAGGAATGGTTGGAAAGCTGCCTGGCGGAGAAGGACCTGGGAGTATTGTTTGATAGTCGGCTGAATATGAGGCAGCAGTGTGCTCAGGTGGCCAAGAAGGCCAACAGCATCCTGGCTTGTATAAGAAGCAGTGTGACCAGCAGGGCTAGGGAAGTGATTGTCCCCCTGTACTTGGCTCTGGTGAGGCCACACCTTGAGTACTGTGTTCAGTTTTGGGCCCCTCGCTACAAGAAGGATATGGAGGTGCTTGAGCGGGTCCAGAGAAGGGCGACGAAGCTGGTGAGGGGTCTGGAGAACAAGTCCTACGAGGAGCGGCTGAGGGAGCTGGGTTTGTTCAGCCTGGAGAAGAGGAGGCTCAGGGGCGACCTTATCGCTCTCTATAGGTACATTAAAGGAGGCTGTAGCAAGGTGGGGGTTGGTCTGTCCTCCCACGTGCCTGGAGACAGGACGAGGGGGAATGGGCTAAAGTTGCACCAGGGGAGTTTTAGGTTAGATGTTAGGAAGAGCTTCTTTACTGAAAGGGTTGTTAGACACTGGAACAGGCTGCCCAGGGAGGTGGTGGAGTCACCATCCCTGGAAGTCTTTAAAAGACGTTTAGATGTAGAGCTTAGGGATATGGTTTAGTGGGGACTGTTAGCGTTAGGTTAGAGGTTGGACTCGATGATCTTGAGGTCTCTTCCAACCTCAAAATTCTGTGATTCAGCTGGCTCCAAAGGGGCCCACCGCTGCCCAGAGCCAAGCCATGAGCAATGCAGTTTAAATCTCTATGAGAGCACACCCAAGAAAAGGAAAAAACAACTGCTGCACAACTGCAGCTGGGAGAGTGAGGAGTGAGAAACCTCCCTGCAGACACCAAGGTCAGTGCGGAGGAGGGGGAGTCCAGTGCAGAGGTGCTCCAGGTGCCGGAGCCGAAGCTCCCCCGCGGCCCACAAGGAGGCCCCTGGTGGGGAAGGCAGCCCCGCAGCCCATGGTGTAGCAGAGTGGAGCAGATCTCCACGCTGCAGCCCATTTAGGAACAGCCCAGGAAGGTTGGCACCCCACGAGAAGGACCCCACACCAGAGCAGCTCCCAAAGAGCCTGTTTTTCGCTGCCCGTGGAGAAACCCACACAGGACAGCCCAGGAAGGTCGGCACCCCACAACAGAGCAGAGGGCAGAGAGACCGTGAAGGAGCAGGAGAAACGAAGCACCACGGACTGACTGCAGACCCTGCTCCCAGCCCCCCTGCACCACTCAGGGCAGGGAAGAGCTGGAAGAGAGTGGATGGGGGAAGGTGCCCCCATCTTGTTTCTTCGTTTCTCACCGCTCCGGCCCGTCAGCAATAGGTAATAAATTTTATTAATCTTCCTATGCCAAGTCTGTTTTGCCTGCAACAATAATTGTAGAGTGATCCCCAATGAGGTACACTTTTTCATTTATCAGGGAACTAGCTTTCTGAGAAGCTCTGTCTCCCCTATTCTAAATTTATAACAGCAATCTCCTCCTTCTTCCACTCCAGATACTCCTATTTGAAGTGGCCGGCCTGGCCACACTTAAAACATCTTCTCAAAGCCTGTACCTGCTAGGATTTAGGCTGCAACACAGGTAGCTTTCCTTGTCTGCCATTCCTTCATCTCTCTTCTTCTCCTTTCCATCCTGGGCCCAACTCCTCCCAAAAGTCCCTCTATCTCCCCCTCTGCCTTACTACCCGGTACGCTGTGAATACCATTTGTTTCACTCTCTGCTTTTCCTTCTCATCTCCCCTCCTGGCATACACCTTCGTACTACCTGCACTGTTCACTTCATCCTCCCACTTTCTGGAGCTTTTTCTGTATATCTGGCCAGGTTTTAATCACAAAATGAATTTTACAGAGCCCTTGGGCTACTGGGTCCTCAGGATTCATCCCCGAGTACTTTCTAATTCTGACCCCAAGTCTCTCATATGATTTCTATGTTGTGGGTTGTTATTATTGCTGTTAGATAAGCAGATATTTCTGCTCTATCGGAATTACTCTTGGTCTGGGGGGGGGGGTGTTAGTTCTTTACCATTCTTGCATAGCTACCTGCCAAATCATTCCCCTCCTAAACATTCTTCTCCAGTGAATAACATACTCAAGAATGACATTTCACCCCCCAGGAATACAAATTAGGCCTTAGAAACGGATTTGACTGTTCTGCTAGGGCCTCGGTTAATGATTTCCATTTTCTTCTTAAAACTCCCAACCTCTCTGCTGGTAAGGGGGGACTGGCACTGGCTCCGCATTGGCCCTGCACAGCCCTGAGGCCCCATTGGGACCCCCCGGCCTCCACTCCTGCCGCTCTGCACTCCCCAGAACGACTTCTCCAGGGACAGCATCAACTGCGGTCCCTGTCTCCCCTCCCGGAGCACCTGCCGCTGCCTCTGGTGCAGTATTAGGATTATAGGGAGCATAACTTGATTCCTCCTCCGAAAACAGAACCTTATTGTTTACATATAAATTTCAAGCCTGAATTTTCATCAAACCCCTATTTTGGCCAAAATACTGAAGTTCCTTTTATTATATTTTTAGGCCAGACAATTACACAATATCAAACCATTTTTTTTTAAATTATATATATTTTAAAATCTTTTTCCCTAATTTTTGGGTTGTTTTTCCAAATCCTTATCATTCTCTCCAAAGGGCTATCTTTAGGCACAATCCCAGTGTCTCCAGCCCCACCCTGCTGACTCTTGGAACCCTTAATTTAATCCCCAGCTCTTCCTGACGTGCTGCTGCGGACTTTACCACC